AGAAAATGTAAATTCACTTCAATTTTTATTCTCTCTCCAGGTTCCGCCAGTCTTCGCCCTGGACGGCTCAGACCCAAGCAAGTGGGATGACCGAGTGCGGGTCCCTGCAGAGGGTGTTGTGCAGGCGCTAGCAGAAGGACGCCAGCCGGAACTTCAGACTGCCAACATGGTTAAAGAATCGCCAGATGTTGAGGATATCAATCGAGGTAAAGGAAAGATGATCCAGTGTAGTTCATAGAATTTTTATCATTTGATACCATGATATCCACTGAGGGTTTGTTTTACTTTATTGGTTTTAGTGCTGTGTCCCCAAGCAATCAATTGGATGTGGGTGACTGGAGGTTTTGGACGACACAACAGCCTGAAACAATTCAATTCTGTACCACTTTTCAACACCAGGCAGGAGACAAAACATTTGTGATGTTTTTATCAGAACTTACAGTAACTTAACCCCTTCATGCCGGGTCACGTGTATATGCATACCGCATGCGTGTATACAAGGGCTCCATTTCTAACCCATCACGCCAGGGACGCGCATGGGCGATATTTCTGTATGGCTGTATGAATTACTGTTTTTTTAATTAGTTTGTATGTATACAGGTCTTTATATTGATAATTATGTTGGGAAGTTTGTGTTCTTTTTGTTCTTTGTGTGTAAAAAGTTGTAAAATTGTGTGTGTGCAAGTCTGTGTGGACTCGAACAGTGATGGGGAAGGCTGTCACTGAGGAATCTCCCAGTTTTTTATCTTTTTTCTAAGTTTTCTTGCTGATGACGTCATGTCACGTGACCTGACATCATCAGCAAGAGAGAAAGAGAGAGAGTGAGTGACAATAATGTCATGCTACATGATTTTCATGCCATTTCTGCCACATAACTCGCGTGACCTGTCACGTGACAATATCATGTGATTTTTTTGAACCTTCTGGGTAGCTTGGAGAAAAATTACCCGTTTCCCGTGCATACCTCATGTGACCTATCATGTGACTTTCTGGACCCCTCAGGGGCACAAGGATTGATAATAGAGTAGTTTGACTTGTCACCTCATGTGACAAGTCATGTGACCTGAAATTGATGATCTGACTGGCCAAAATCCTCTGGAAAATCATATAAAAGGCCATGCAGAGGGCAAGGTAATCACTCGCCAGCTAGAATCTTCTTTTTGAAAGATGTCTCGCATGCTTATAACTCGCTGCTCCTGCAAGCCAAGGAACTCCCCTGGAGTCCGTGCCTTGTCTTTCGACAAGGGGACAGTGGACGATCCCCAACTATCCACTTCCAGAGGAAATCCTTGCTTGCGGAATGCCCCAGACCCACTCCTCTGTCTGTATTCATCCGCAGACAAAGTCAATGATGAGGTCTCATATGAGGACTAAACACCTCCTCTGAAACTTTCCAGGACAAGTGATCTATCTGGTAAGTTTTCTATCATTTCTTTGACTTGTAAAAATACCAGGATCTTTGGACATATACTTTGTTTCTGCATAGCATAACTTTTTTTTTACAGAGAACTCATGTTTTCCTTCGTATTTTTACAGAAGTTGAAATCTCCGGCCATTTCAACGATAACGACTCGGATTGGGAGGAATCCGAGTCCAACTCCGAAGAATCGGCCGTGAAAGACAACTCAGATATCGATAACGACTATGTCCCACTGGTGGATACTTCCTTGGACTCAGACGATGGTGGGAGCGCAACGCTCCTGGGACTCCTTCCTTCTTTTGTGTGGGTAAAGACAACGGTGTGGGAGTTCCTCTCATACATCGGCATTAGGTTCCTCATGATATCCTCGTCGGTGTTCACCAAGACCGTGTCCAGAGCCCGCTTCGACAGCCTTACCTTACTGGAGGACCGTTTGAGGAAGCTGTGCCCTTTGATTGACGTCTTGGATTCAACATGCCGTTCCATTCTCGTCCCCAACAAGAGCGTGACTGATGACAAGAGCTTGTGGGCCTTCAAGGGCAGGTATCAAGCCCTTCAGTACAACCCTAGTAAGAGGGGTCAGAGGGGCCTGAAGGTCTGTGTTCATTTGACGGTCCTGAGGCAGGGTATACGATGGCCTTCAACATCTACATGGGGCAGGAGTGTGGCGAGTTTCCGGCGAGTATGAAGAACGTCGACGACCTGATGGAGAAGGCAAAGCTGCTCGATAAGGGGTATCAGTTGTACACAAACAACTGCTAGTCGGGGACACGTCGACTTCCGTAGTAGTAACACCAGAATGCTTTGCCTGCAGTGGGTAGACAAGCGTCCTATGACAATGCTATCCACTGCCCACACATCAAAGGTTGTTACCCAGCCTCCCAAATGCTGAGGAGTGGAGAGGGCAAAGCCTGAGGTCCATCAAGTGGTACAAGAAAGTATTCTTCTATTTGCTGGATATGACAACTGTCAACATGCTGGCTGTCCACTGGGCCCCCAGCGCTAAACTCTCACAGTATAAGTTCCGTATGGAACATGTCCGGGAATTGCTGCAGCAAAGTAAGCATCTGACTTTGTTTCTTGTATTCTGATTTGAAATTATGGTGATTTTCATTCTAGCTGTCCATTTTTGAGGATGTAATTTACAATGTCCTTTTTTCTTGCATTTACAGGTAGCTGGGCTGGCTCCTTTTGGCGGAACCTTCCTCAGGAGGAGGATCCCCAGCAGGCGCACATGCCAGTCGGCACCCCTTCCAGAGGTGGCGGAGATGTGCACTCTGCTGGAGGAACGACCGGTGCAGGAAGGAGACCAGAGTCATGAGCTCCAGCTGCAGCACTTCCTTTTGTCCAATGCCTTGTTTTCAGGCTTTTCATGCCTGAAAATACTAATATGTACATAGTGTATATAGTTTACATATGTAAATACATATATTATTTATTTTTTTAAAAAATAAAAATTTGAATTACCACTGCTTTTCTGTGCTCTCGCCAAAACAAACTATTGACTTTACACACTCCATTGGTCAAACACTCCTAAAATGGAGTACATACTACAGTATGAGACAATGAAATCCTTCATATGACATATTATATGGTTACAGTAAGTTTGCAAACTAGAAACATGTTTCTAGAGTGAAAAAACAGCTTGCGGTTATGCATACCAGCTGCCCGAGCGCGCTGAAACTTCAATGGGGTGGTGAGATGGGTAGCGCGAGTTGAAGGTTGTCCCAGCAGGAGAACCAGCCGCTTATTTTTTGTTCCCCATAACTACGGGTGCAGAGCTGTTTTCCGACCCGCCGGAATTAGGTTAAACAACATTTTAGGTGGCTAAAATGTTGCTTCACAACAATCATGTGGCTCTAAGTCCAGGCATTACGTGAGCAGCCACTTTGTTGTGTGTGGTGACCAGACACTGTGCCTCCTATTTGCCTCTGTGCCTCCTCCTTTTTATGCATATGAGTTTTTAGCTTTTTTGCTATTTTCCAATGTCCATATTTGTCATTTGATTTGCATTATCCAGATCGTAAGGGACTGATTTCTTTCCACAGACTCCATATCATCTCTAGTCTACAACTTGGTGCAAGAAAAATAAAAATATATAACATATTGTTGTTTGTGTGGTTTTTATAATTTTTTCGTAATATTCAATTTTCTCCAGTACATCCTGTGCCACCAGTCACAGTGCCAGGAATATGAAGCTGAGCATGGAAATGGCATCCTCCATACAGCTGGTGCTCTTCCATACTTGTATATTGATGGGAATTAAGCAAAATCGCCAAATGAGTCTAATCACCCCCCCTTGTCCTTGTATTACCAAGTATTATATTACCAAGGCCTTTGTTTCTTTGCAGGCGACAAAACACGATACGAATGTGACGTCTGCGAGCGTGTTGTGATAGGAGAGATCCAGTGGCGGGCTCACATACGCGGTGCAAAACATAGGAAGATGCAGAGAAGACAAACCCTCCTTCAGGAAAATGCCAAGAAAGAAGTGAATGTGTGAAGAGATATTTTAAAACCATTGATTTTACTTGTGAAAAAATGGCTATTTTATATCTAGTCATTCTGATACGTACAAAAAAAACAAAACAAAGGAATGAGGCATAAGTAGCAAATTTAAGCTATTATGTATTGTAAGAGAGATATACATTTATGTATAAAAAGTCTTAAGTTCTCCAAGGTGTTTCATTACTTTGGCCTATGCTAAACGAAACTGTGGTGTCAATTATTTTTTTCCCCAATTTGAAGTTTCATAAATGATTATACTTTTTTTTTTTTCTTTTCCTAAATTATTTTAACTGGCTGGGGGAAGAACTGCTATTTATTCATTTACTTATTTTTAGAATGACAGATCCTTGACCACAGCATGAATTATAACTTATTGTAAACACTATTTCTTACTGAGCTGTTTAAGCTTTTTCCCCATCAGACACTGCTGTGGAGTAGCAGTGTTTGGCATAGGTTTTGTAGTAATGGGGGTAGTAGAAGTATGGAGACATGTGGAAGAGGGAGTAGTGTTGAGAGCGGTAGTACTGTGGAGACATGGACAATAAGGCTCCAGAGTAGTAATAAGGGAGGAGGGAGCAGTAGATGAAGAAAGCTGCGGGGGTGGATGTGAAGGGAGAGGTTGGTGGGAGAGGAGGAATGTTTTCTGGGTGGATGATCTGGGTTGGACTGAGGTGATAATAGGCACTGAGGAAGGGGTAATTGTAGCAGTGTTTAGAGTTGTAGTCAAAGCAGGGCCTGGGGTCAAGGATTTGGGAGAATTTAAATCTGTAGGGCTAGTTGATAAAGTGCAAGCCTCAATGCCCCCAATATGGGTGCAAAATCTGCATTAGTGGCCATGATTAGCCTGGAGTATGTTGGGGAAAGAAAAAGTCCACCTCACAGGGTCGCCTTGAGGGTTAGATAGGGCTAGAAAACTAAATGGAAATATCATGCCCGTGGCTCCCCAGGCCGTTCACGGCTAGCACAAAGTCAGCCTTTCATCTTTTCAACATGGCTCTCACACCTTAGGAAGTGGATGCTGGAAGGTTAATGGTACAAAACAAAATAAATGTACTAGTCATCAAAGGTTATATATAGCACTATGAAAAGGAGTCAAAAGTTGTATAGGAGTTCAGGATAGTATGGCAATGAAAGGGGTAAGGTAGAGAGGGTGAGTAAACCGTCAAAGGAAGATGTCCACAAGGTAAGGTAGGATTAGCTAAAGGAGAGAGGAGAGTTTATGGGCAATTAGATCAGTTTCAGGAAAAAAGTCAGGAGGGGGAATCCAGGGAAGGTGGTTGCTGTGCCAGGGTCACCTATGTATCCAGGGGGAAGTGGAAGGCATAATGGCGTAGGAAGGGATGGATGGGATTAGAAAAGAGAGAGAAATGAAGACGAAAAGACAAAATTAGTTAAGTCGAGGGCGACAACAGGCATGGGATTGGAGAAGACCAATTCCCCCCCCCCCCCTCTGATACATGCTTTTCGTGTAATCTGTGTTGCTCTTTTGGGTTTGCTGCACTTGTTAAGGGTTTTAGGAAGACATTAATGCTATAAACAATTGGGAAATATTTTGACTGAAGGAAACTGGAGGTGCCGGTGAAGTAAACATTGCAGTGTCTGGATTTAGAATGGCCAAAGAAACTGACTGGGAAAGGGGGGAGGGGCAGGGGCAGAAATTTAATGTAAGGAAGAGGAGGAACAGATACTGGGGGAAATATAGAAACAACTTGGAGAGAAGGAGGGGCAAAGTGAAGGACATTACTGGAGTAGGTAATGAGAAAAACCTTGGTGTGCTGCCTGCCTGGTCTCGTGGAAAGTGAGGCCGACAAGTATGAATCTGAGGACTGCTACGTCAGACTCGAACTTGTAGGTAGGGTAACCCTATAAAATATACTACAGGAGCCACCACAGTTAGAAAAGTGATTATACAAGGTAGTTTGATCATGGGCAAGCTGGGCAGTGGGTGGAGGAGCAGCATTGCTTAGCAGGGTGACCAAAACACCAACATTTCTGACATTGATGAGGGAGTGGTGTTGAGCAAGGTATGGGGAAGTGGACAATAAGGCTTTATAGTAGTAGTAAAGGAGGAGGGGACTGAAGAATGTGGAGATGGAGTAGAATATTTTCTGAAGGTTAGATAATGACTTGTGTAGTTGACTTGGAATAGACTGAGGCGATAGCTGGTGTTGAGGAGGAGGAAGTAGTAGCAGTGTTCACAGTCATGATCAAACAGAGCCAGAGGTCCAGGTATAAATTAATTATTGACATGGTAAGCCTGGAGTATGTAGGGAAGAGAAATTATCCATCCCTCAGTCTCTCCATGAGAGAAAGGGCTAGATAACTAAATGGGAAACCTTGCCCATGGCTGCCTGAGGCCATTCTAAGCCAGCCTTTTTTCCTTTTAACACAGCTCTCACAATTTAGGAAGTGGACCCCCCAAAAAAAAATCCCTTGCTCATTAATGTCATGGGGGGCTTAGGAGATAGAGATGGGCCCAATGTAGGGGATCATCCCCTACCTTGGCCCTCAGCCCTTGCCTCAACTAATTTTGCATGATCTTTTCTTCTCCCTCTTTCTTTCTCTTCTTCATACCCTTCTTCTGTCCACTTCCTAAGGTGTGAGAGCCATGCTGAAAGGGTGAAAGTCTGGCTTTGCATCAGTCACAAACAACCTCTGGGAGCTGTGATCATGCCATTCCCTTAATCGTCAAGCCCTTACCCCCCATGGTAGATAATTTCTTCACCCTATTTATTTCAGGCTTGCCATGACTAATAGTGAAGATTTTTTACTTTTATTAGGGGCATTAAGGCTTGCCCTTTCATCAACTAGCCTATCTGAATTTGATTTTATTGGTTTCCCAACCCCTGCCTCTCCTTTGATCATAGCTCTGATACTAATACCCCTTCCTCAATGTTTGCTATTGATCCATTCTGAATCATACACCCAAGATCATTACTCAACCTTCAGTCTTCTTCATTGTCTACCCCCACCCCTCTTATTACTACTCTTCATCCTTATTGTCCTCCTCTCAACAGTACTACCGATCCATACCACCCCATCTTCCTCCCACCCTTGTCCATCTACTACTTCCACCTCTGCAAACCTTTCGAGTACCCTTTTTGGCCCAGCCAAGTAGGTCAGTTCTTTGTGATTCCCCCTACAGCCTCACACTGACAATACCCTTGACTTCCAACAATATCTCTAAAAACAAGTAGGCAAAGTTTCCTTTTGGAGTTGTTCCGAACGTTCATGCCTTGTCACAGTTACATCCGAGTTCCAAGCTCATGCACTATCTACCCTGACTGACCTCACTCACTCCCTTAATACTTCTACCGGAACTGTTTCTGTCTCCCTGACTGATTGTCCTGTCTACAAGATGGACTGGTCAACCTGAAAACAATTTGCTTGCATACCTTGTTGATTATGAAGCAGTAGCAGTCCAGTGCTACACTCCCAGAGGCTAATGTAAGTCCACCAATATTGCCAAGATTAGATTCTGTACAAATGACCTCCCCCATGAAGTTTATATTGGTGGAGTGCCCTGCCCTGTCCAAGCATATCAATCACTTCCCCAGCTATGTCAGAAATGTTGGCATTTTGGCCACCCAGCCAAACACTGTCATTACAACAAGCTACCCTCTATGTACCCAACTTGGTCATGACCATTCAAATTGCTCTGCTCAGTTATGCACATGTGGCAATTGTGGTGGCTCCCATAATGTATTTTAAAGGAGCTGCCTTGCCAACAAGCTCACATCTGAGGTAGCTGTTCTCAGATTCAAACTAGGCCTCACTCTATGCGAGGCCAGACAAGAAACTTGCCAATGAGGTTTTTCTCATTCTACCTATTCCGAAACTGTACTTCGCTCCGCTTTCCTCCCATCCTCTCAAGGTCTCAGCATCTCTTCCCTCTACCCTAAATCATCCTATCTCTGCTCCTCTTCTCTTCTAGTCAAACTTGTATTCCAGTTTAAATCCAGATACTCCAATCTCTACCACTTCCCTGGTGTCTACCCCTCCTCCTCCTCACTCCTCCTTGTTTCACCAGACAATCTAAATGTTCCAACCCATCTTCTACCACATCCTCTCCTACACCCACCTTTCCCTCTGTTCTTCAGATATCTATTCCCTCTTCTCCTCCACATAAGAAAACCTTTGTTTCTCAGACTTCCCCACCCAACTCCCCTCCACAAACTCTTGAAGACATCAAAACTTTCTAAACATGATCCAAGACAATGTTCCGCTCCCTCATCCACCCTCTATTTCTATTTGCTCTCAATTCAAAGTACTTGCCAAT